CCCAAAATTTTTAAATATGTTAATTTATGCCATTCATGTAAAAACAGCAGTCTATTTTTTGCCTCAGTAATTGTGGGAGAAAACCAATAAGAGCCCTGCCTTTTATTCTGCATTTGAGGTTTGGATTTAAAACATATATTATAATATGAATAGAAGATTGTAATAAAAGCATTATACTTATTTACCTTTCACCAAATATGCATCATAAACTTCTAGTCATTTTTCAGAATTTGAATAGTTCAGAAATAGTTCAATATTGTGTGAATAATAATTTCTAATACAAGTTAAGTTGTTTTTTATTTCAGAGGTTTCTTGAGTTTCTACTGTCTCCTATGATCCAAGACACCCATTTCAATTACAGATACAGTTATAATGTCAAAATTTATAAAAAAATTATCTAAACATTTATTGTATCTAGTATTTTGGTGAACTGCTTGATACAGATTGTAGCATAAAAAAATATTTTTAATATTAGAGGCATTTTGGTCATTTGGATCTAAAAAAATTACATTGAAGTCTCCTATTATAAGTGATTTAGATTTTAGAACATTTCTTGAAGTTATCAGCCAGCTCAAGAACATTGCGCAATATGTCCATAAAATGGCTCAAATTATGGTAAAAAGTAGACCTATAAATTGAGATTATTGTAATATTCTTTTGTTTTACATAGCAAGCTCTCTCTCCACTGAGGAGGTGAGAATATTTGTATTTATGCACATATATACATGCTTTGACAAAAACTGCTAGCCATTCTATAATTCATTAAATTATAACAATCTTTTTCATGATTGTTTAACCAGTACTTAGTGATGCAGATTATCTTAATAGATGTGTTTTTTATACTAAACCTTTCGATTTCTAAGATTTTGTTTCATATACATTAAACATTCCAATGAAAGATGGACATAGCCACCGCTCAACTCCTGAATGACTCAGTAGTATTGAGAACTTTAGAAGGCACATAGTCTTCAGTACTTATTTCGTGTCTGCTATTAAAAACAACCCAGATTTAGTTTTTCTGTAACCATCAGGATTGTCAAGGAAATGTTGACCCTCCCTAAAGTCAAATCTTCAGAAGCATTTCATGTACACTACTTCTTTTATTGTTGGATCTACACCAACAAGAAAAAAATTATTATCTTTTTTACATAAACATTAGCTTCAGTTTGATTTGATTTTGTAGCTATATATTTCCTTATTGTCTGATCAGTAACAGCATCTTTAACTCTAGAGATACATAGCCAAATTTTCTTTACATTTTTATTATTTTTGGTAGTAGTACCATAAATAAAGCTTTGTCATTCATACATTGTTGAATGCTAAGCACATAATAAATTTAATTTTTGATACTAAAAAAACACCCAAAGTTTTTAAATATAAAATGGTAACAGCTATTTTTAAACAGGGAACTAAGAAAAATATTTCAAATTATAAACCAGTTAGTTAAATCACAAATTTTGCTAAAATATTTGAGAAATGCTCAAAAAGGAGGTCATATGATTATAAAAAATGCAAACATCCTGAATATAAAACAACTTTGTTTCCAAAAGGGTACAAGTACGAGTGATGCCTTGAATGAACTAATATTAAACATAAAAAGTATCTTAAATAATAACAAAAATAATTCAAAGGCATTTGACACTGTTCCTTGCCAAACAACTTTTAAATGTTCTTGAAAAGTTATGGAATAAGAGGAATAGTATTAAAAGTATTTGAAAACTATTTAAACACAGTGATATGGTCACAATAAAAATAGGAGTTCCACAAGAAACAATTCTGAGTTCGATATTATCTATGGCTTACACAAATTCATTATTACATTTAGATATTGAGGGTGTAACAATTTCTTATAAAGATGATACAGTTTTATTGTTTGAAAGCAACACATGAGAGTCTGTGAAAGAGATAATTATCAAGGGGATGAGAATTATTAAATTTGATTGAACATGAATGAATTACCACTGACAGTTTCCCTAACAAATGCTAATCAAAAAAGATTTAATTAAATTCACATTGGTACTCCTGGCTTTATCATAAAAAAACTGATACTTGATAAAATCATTAAATGGACTCCTCAAATTCAATATTTAGCAAATAAAAATTGTTAATAATGATATATCAAGCATTAATATTACACCTTGGCTTATGCATCCAAGTGTGTAACTAGAACAACCTGTACTATGTGTGTGGGCAGTTTCTGATTTAATTATTTTATAAATCTATTTTTATATCACTTATATAAATACTCCAGCTAATGTGAACCCATTAAAAGTAAACAAACGGTATTTTAATAATGAATTATTGGGTGTTGGGATCTTGGACTGGATTGATTAAGAAATGGGGTCACTGAACCAAATACCACGACCCTGACTTTGTCATTGGCCTCACTACCATTTAAAATGCCATATTTTATATAAAATATCTAAACTTACCTCTGTCTGTTGAATCCATATTCGAGGGAATTCAATGAAGACTTGCTTAGGTGGAAAAACAGAGTTTCTAATTAAACTTTTCACTCAAAAACTAATAATTAATCTACAGCCTACTTTCAAAAAAGTAAACATGGCCGTATTCATAACATACTGCAGACTTTTTTTATTAGTGTTCACTTATGGTTTACTTGCACGGCAAATTGAGGTCAGTTAATGTTTATAAACTTTAACAAATATTACGGTTCGATTTATGTAAATTACCAAATCAATAAACAATTTAACATTTAACTAAAATTAAGTAGATTCTTGAATCTCTACCAACTATATTTTTAATTCCTAAAATTATCGCAATTGTCTTAGTGGCAGCACAGAATACTTATTATTCTGTGGTGGCAGCACAATGCACAAGCAAACAAAAAAGTGATTTTTTAGGGATCTTACATAAAACAAGCATTCAGTCAACAGAATAATAGGAAAAGTGGTTGAATTGTTATTAAAAACATTTTTTTCAAAAAAATCCTTAATTTCTGAAAAAGTAATTTGAAATTGACAATTCTCAACATTCACAAAAAACAGTGTACAATAAAGCGTTGTATTCTGTAAATTGTACTCAAATGCAAAACTTTTATTTTACGTTAATAATCAATTTTTTAAATTGGTTTCAAATAAATTCATTAAAGTTTAAAAATATAATCAAATTGATTACTGCTAAATACTTAATTGGTAAAGGCAACTAAAAAAGTAGAAATTTTGACATCATGCATGACATGAAGTTAGTGATAGAAGTCAAGGTATTGAGAACAGTGTTGCCAAATGAAATTTTTCTGCGGAAAAATGTGAAAAGTATAATCGTTTTTGATTGCAATGAAAATATCTGCTTACAATGGCCGCTCCGGGGTGGGGGGGGGGGGGAAGCATGAAAATTCTTTTTATTTAACATGTGATTTGTATCCTGTTTTACAATGTGGAACTAAATAAATCTTGCTTTGATGTTTTTTGACACTCATGTTACCAGGGCCCCCGCAAGGGTTATCGCCGCCCGCGTACCGGAAATATTTTGGCGCCCTTTGAATATATGTAGTACTCATATAAATAATATTTTGAAGAATAACAACTTTAAGCTGTTACATATGTTTTTTAAATTTCCTGGTTTGATGTAATATTCTTGTAGTCGTTTAACATTTGAGCGTGTTGCGAAATCACATTTTATTTTAATTTTGTTATGAAACAACAGATATTTCAAAAACCAATATTTTATTCTTACAAACGAAAAAACAAACCAAAGTAAATAAATAAAACATTCAATTATCCAAAAATTAAATAGGTTTTTTTCTGGATTTGGCTGCTGCAAATTCTTTTATAATATTGTCAAAATAAATTGTATCGAGGATATCTTGCTCTATAGCCGATAATCTTTCTTTTGACACGGTAGACCTCAAATAATTTTTAATTATTTTTAATTTTGAGAAGGATCTCTCACCAAAAGCTACATATACAGGTAAAGTAAGCAGGATTCTTAACGAAATGGTAATATTTAGAAGAGATGGTCGCACTGAGCAGCTTTCTGAGTGCCTTTTAAAAGGAGATAGAATACTCCGCCATTTTGAACCCTTATTACGTGTTGCATACATCTTGGCGCAATATTTTTATTAGGTGCGTTTTAATCATCCGCTTCTGCTTCGGAATTGTCGGTTTTCTTATTTTAATCTGACAGGTTAAAACGACTAAACCGACAATTCCGGAAGCAGAAGCGGATGATTAAAACGCACCTGATATTTTGCTTGCTGCTGTCAGTGTCAGTGAATATTATTTTTGAAGTCACAGTTTATTGCTAAAGAATCAGTTAGCTCACTTGGACAAGTTGAAAGTTCCAAAATAACATCCACTCCAGGGATACAAATTCAGGATACGCAGAACACTGCTGTTTTATTATAGGCGGTTGTCATATATTGTATTATCCGAGTTGCACAGTGTATAAACTGAAACATTGAGATCAAAAGTGCCGACGCAGAGTGAGCGATCTGATTCTTTAGCTGTAAACTGTGTCACAGGGTTCAAAATGGCCGCGCCCTATGTTGGGCGTGCCTCGTATAGTAATCAAAGTATGTGAAAATATCGTACTTATTTTCAAATAAAATATTAAAGATGATGAAAAATATTTAATACTGGCAACAGTGTGTAGCAAAATTTTAAAAGTATGTTCAGCTGTCAGCGCGATGACAGACCACTGACAGCAGCATATCATAATATGGCAACACTGTGGACATGATGATTTGACAGGATCAATCATATACATAGGTAGATAGATTGATCATCCATGTTTTTAAAACTAAACATAAGCATATGACTTAAATTAAATATATCCGTAATTATTTTGATTTTACTATTTAAAAGCTGGAAATTCTTTTTAAAACACATTTTTGCTAAACCGATTCAAATTAGTGAACATTTACCGGGCAATATGGCCGCTCGTAAAGGACCTGCTTTGAACAATCTATATAACTATAGATGTATCATTGACCCTGTCAATGACAACAGGCCTACAGAGTTGCCATATTTAAATTGTCAGTTGGAATGCCCACATTTTCCCGCTCCTTTGACCTTTAATAATAATCATCACAATCTTTTGCACAAAACTGTGAAATTTAGTGAAAATTGTATCTTATTTGTGGAAAAGTGTTTTGATTGCACGTTGCGCATGAATTGCGTACTCGAGGAGAAGTTGATCGATTAATTTAAAGCCTTAAAACATGTCAAAAGTAACTGATTAAAAAATCAAAAATGACTATTATAAAAATTTAATTTTTGTAGGATATACGTTCATTCTTCACTGTGATTTCAAATAAATCAAGTGCAGCAACAGTACAGGTGCCAAAGAAAAAAGTAAAACGTTTAATTGATTCAGACGAGGAAGATGTCATCCCACCTACCCCAGACAATAAAAGAACCAAATCTATAAATGTTACTAAAAGCAAACCAACCGTTATTCTTTCTTCAGATTCCGAAGATGGAACTAGTAAAACTAAAATTAAAACAAAGCCAGTTAACAAAGAACAAAAACCGAAATTGAGGTTAGTTAATTTAGAGGACCTTTATAATAATAAGCCTATTAAGCAAAGTAAAGTCGAAAGCAATCCAAAAGGAGAAATAGTCAAACAAGATGAACCGAAAATTAAGAAATCAAAAAAGAAAAAGATTGAAACTGAAAGAGGAATACACGGAGATGAGACATTTGAAAAGACCCTTATGGAGTTGGATGATGATATGTTTATAGAAAACTTGGATGTGTTAGACAAAACGATAGATGAGGCTTTAAATAGTAAAAAGAAAGATGAAAGTGAGGTTAAACAAGGTAGTTCTAAAGAAAATTCTCCTAATAAGCCTCAAAACGGATCAAAAAGGCAAATAATGTCTTCAGAAGATGAAAGTGAGGTTAAACAAGGTAGTTCTAAAGAAAATTCTTCTAATAAGCCCTTAGATAATGATACGTCTCTAAAGGGATCAAAAAGGCAAAGAAAACCTTCAGAAGGTATTTTTATATTAATAAATTTACATTGTGTGTTGTTTTTATTTTATTTTTTAACAAATTAGTTATACCTGCATGCAGCAAGGAAATAATATTCAAAACAAAAAGGGTAATATTTTAAAAAAGAAACAGTTTCATGTCCTGTTTATAACTATATTTTTTTATCCAAAATATGCTACTATCTGTAAATTTTCTTTAGAGCACAGAATCATCGACCAAAGTTGGCCAATTGCCTAGACTGAAAAAAAGAATACTCCAAATGAATGGTGGTACTATAAAACCATAAAAATGCTGCATTTGGCTTGTCATTAACAGTGAGATTTCAGATTTGTGTAAAATTTAAAGGACATTTATTATATTATGTATATTTACAATTAATTTATAGGATTTTAAGGTCATGAAAAAGTTGTTTGCGGCTAGTTGTTCTTGAAACCCCAGCCATGCATTTTATAACTTTTTTGTATACAAAAGACTTGCTCCAGGTGTGCTGAGCAGCCCCAAAAAATTAGACCGTATCAGATAATTGATTCAACAAAACCAAAATATGTTAATTTTAAAACATCGGGATTTACAGTGTTTTTTGACTGCCTCATTAGAAAACATACACTACTTAGTTTATTTGATACGTGATCTACATGGTTCTCCCATGTTAACTTGCTGTCCAGAATTGAACCTAAGAATTTGCTCGAATTTGTTATATTTTTTGATAGATATGTATACAGTGAGACTTTTTGAAATAGTTTCTTTAGAAAATGAATTCTTAATAAAACTGGGCTCTGTCTAATACCAAATACTAACAAAAATAAAAAATTCTGTACATGAGACAGCTGTTTGCTAACTATTGAGCTGCAAATGTAGGTATGAGGTTTATATTTTTCTTGTAGGAACAGGTTCTACTCCTAAAAAACCTAAATTTGAACACACAGATATTTTTAAAAAGCAGTTTGATGTCCTATTTATAATTATACATTTTTATCCAAAATACGCTACTATCTTTGGCTGCATCTTTGGTAAAACAAAGTAATTTGAAGCTTGAAGTGTCTAGTTTATGGATCTTGCGATAGTGCACGTCGCAATCTATTACACAGTGTGTTTCACATTGTATATAATATTTGAATGCAATTTGTTGTTAATGCAATCTATTATACAATATGTCCCAGATATTGTTACCGACGTGCTTGAAGTGCACGTCGCATTGTATTATACAGTGTGTTTGACATTGTATATAGTAGATTGCGACGTGCTCTTCGAGCACGTTGTTAACAATATTTGAATGCAATTTGTTGTTAACGACGTGCTCGAAGAGCACGTCGCAATCTATTATACAATATGTCCCAGATATTGTTACCGACGTACTTGAGGAGCACGTCGCATTCTATTATACAGTGTGTTTGACATTGCATATAATAGATTGCGACGTGCTCTTCGAGCACGTCGTTAACAATATTTGAATGCAATTTGTTGTTAACGACGTGCTCGAAGAGCACGTCGCAATCTATTATACAATATGTCCCAGATATTGTTACCGACGTACTTGAGGAGCACGTCGCATTCTATTATACAGTGTGTTTGACATTGCATATAATAGATTGCGACGTGCTCTTCGAGCACGTCGTTAACAATATTTGAATGCAATTTGTTGTTAACGACTTGCTCGAAGAGCACGTCGCAATCTGTTATACAATATATTGTTACCGACGTGCTTGAAGAGCATGTCTCATTTTATTATACAGTGTGTTTGACATTGTATATAATAGATTGCGACGTGCTCTTCGAGCACGTCGTTAACAATATTTGAATGCAATTTGTTGTTAACGACGTGCTCGAAGAGCACGACGCAATCTATTATACAATATGTCCCAGATATTGTTACCGACGTGCTTGAGGAGCACGTCGCATTCTATTATACAGTGTGTTTGACATTGTATATAATAGATTGTGACGTGCTCTTCGAGCACGTCGTTAACAATATTTTAATGCATTTTGTTGTTAACGACGTGCTCGAAGAGCACGTCGCAATCTATTATACAATATGTCCCAGATATTGTTACCGACGTGCTTTAAGAGCACGTCTCATTCTAATATACAGTGTGTTTGACATTGTATATAATAGATTATATTATAGATCATATTATGCATATTTACAATTAATTTATAGGAGATATATATGTATACAGTGAGACTTTGTGAAATAATTTCTTTAGAAAGTTAATTTTCAATAAAACTGGGCTGTCTAATATCAAATACTAATAAAAATAAAAAAATACTGTACATGAGACAGCTGTTTTCTAATTATTGAGCTGCATATATAGATATGAGGTTTATATTTTTCTTCTAGGAACAAGTTCTACTCCTAAAAAACCTAAATTTGAACACACAGATTCAGGTTTTGACCCAGATGAAGAGGCCTTTGAAAAAAGACGATATTCGGCAATGTTGTATCAAAAATACAAAACTAGAGGAGGACCAAGGTTGCACGGTCAAAAAGAATCACCGAAGGTAGAATTAAATTATTTAATCTTTAGGAATTTAACATTATTGTTTTTTTTTTTTTAATATAGGGAAATCCGAATTGTCTTAAGAATTTGACTTTCTTGAGAACTGGTGTTTTAGATTCTTTGGAAAGTGAGGAATTTGAAAATTTAATTGCTGAGCATGGTGGTAGAGTGGTTAAAGCAGTGTCGAGTAAGTTTTTTTTAATTGAAAATGATTATATACAGTATGTCCCTCTAAGTTCGAATCATATGGAAAACTTTTTTATTATTAATTTTAGGATAAAAAGTTATTCTTCATAAAAAGTTCTGCCTAATTTAAAACCTAGAATACAGTCATGAAATATCAAATTTTTTCAGTGGTATACGAGGTTTGTCAAAAAATATGAGTTTTACTCAAGAGTAAAGTACCTTTATTCTTTATACGACTGATATAATTTGATATTTGATGGTTATATTGTAGGTTTTAGACCATGCTCGACTTTTTATAAAGAACAACTTTTTTGCCTAAAATTAATAATAAAAAAGTTTTTCATATGATTCCAATTTAGGGGGACATACTGTATATATTTTTTTCAAAAAATAATGAAAAATAAATATTTTCCTCTAGGAAAAGTTAATTATTTGGTTGTTGGGGAAGATCCTGGACCAGCTAAACAGCAAAAAGCAAAAGCTTTTGGTATAAAGGAATTATCTGAGGATGAATTGTTTGATCTTATACTGGTAAAATCTGGCAAAAAACCAAAATACGTTGTAAAAACAGAGGATTCTCAAGATTCAGGTTCTGGTTATATTAATAACTGCTATTTGTTTCTATTATTTATTTCCATATTCATTTTTTTAGGCGTATTTGAAGAGAAAGAGTTGAAATTCGAAAAGCCACACATCACAGAAACAAATACTAGGAAAAAAGATGAAAAGAAAAAGCATACAGAAAAAGAATCGTCAAATAAGGAGAAACCTAATCTAAAAAGAATCAAAATGGAAGAATCAAAAGTTGAACAAAAATTACCAAAAGAAAAAGAAGTTACAGAAATGTGCAACAAAGAAGAGAAGCCTCACAAAACAAATTCAGAAAAAACTGTAAAATTATTAGAAACATCCAAGACAACACCAGAAACTCAGTCTGAATCAGCCGGGGAGTCTAAAGGAGAAGAAGAAGAAAAGCCTCTATCTCTAACTTGGACAGAAAAATATAAACCAACGAATACCAAAAATATTATTGGCCAACAAAGCGATTCGAGTAATTTGGCCAAACTGAGAACATGGTTGAATAACTGGTACAGAAATCAGATACCGGAGGTGAGAGCGAAGATCCCTCGTCCGTCGCCTTGGGCCCCCTGTGGCAACGGGGCCTATTTTAAAGCTGCTTTGTTGAGTGGTCCTCCAGGAGTGGGTAAGTCATATGAATTTGTTACTATTATATCTAAAAATGCATTATTTTTAATTTGTTAGGTACATTAAGAAAATGCTCTCTAGTAAATATGTATATTTTTTTTTCCTAATCTCCTAATATTCTTATACTCGTATTTAAAGGTATATAAAGGTATTATAGCAAGGTATTTTCTTTAAAACGAATAAATGGGCGGTCGACTAATTATGACATTTCAGGTCTTGGAACACCTTAAAATGTCACGAAAAGAAAGAAAATCGCCTCTAAAAGTTTGTGCGAATTTTCCTTTAGAAGTTAGACTTCCAATTTTTCGCGCATTTTTTTTTGAGCACCGCACGTGCTAATTTCTTTATTTTAACTCAAAAAATTCGGAAAAAATTCTTATAGGGTAATTTGGGTCTGGAAAAGCCGAAAATGACCTCGACATTTTTCTAGGGCTTCTCAGTTTTCTCGTAGGGCCTTAAAATCGCTCGAAAACCCACTTTCGGCCCCATATCTGCATGTTTTAGGGTACATGTGAAATTTATGTGTTTTTTAACTGCCTCATTAGAAAACATACACTACTTAGTTTATTTGATACGTGATCTACATGGTTCTCCCATGTTAACTTGCTGTCCAGAATTAGACCTATGAATTTGCTCGAATTTGTTATATTTTTTGATAGATATGTATACAGTGAGACTTTTTGAAATAGTTTCTTTAGAAAATTAATTCTTAATAAAACTGGGCTCTGTCTAATACCAATTACTAACAAAAATAAAAAATTCTGTATATAAGACAGCTATTTTCTAACTATTGAGCTGCAAATATAGGTATGAGGTTTATATTTTTCTTGTAGGAACAGGTTCTACTCCTAAAAAACCTAAATTTGAACACACAGATATTTTTAAAAAGCAGTTTTTGTCCTATTTATAATTATACATTTTTATCCAAAATACGCTACTATCTTTGGCCGTATCTTTGGTAAAACAAAGTAATTTGAAGCTTGAAGTGTCTAGTTTATGGATCTTGCGATAGAGCACGTCGCAATCTATTACACAGTGTGTTTCACATTGTATATAATAGATTGCGACGTGCTCTTCGAGCACGTCGTTAACAATATTTGAATGCAATTTGTTGCAATCTATTATACAATATGTCCCAGATATTGTTACCGACGTGCTTGAAGAGCACGTCGCATTCTATTATACAGTGTGTTTGACATTGTATATAATAGATTGCGACGTGTTCTTCGAGCACGTCGTTAACAATATTTGAATGCAATTTGTTGTTAACGACGTGCTCGAAGAGCACGTCGCAATCTATTATACAATATGTTCCAGATATTGTTACCGACGTGATTGAAGAGCACGTCGCATTCTATTATACAGTGTGTTTGACATTGTATATAATAGATTACGACGTGCTCGAAGAGCACGTCGCAATCTATTATACAATATGTACCAGATATTGTTACCGACGTGCTTGAAGAGCACGTCGCATTCTATTATACAGTGTGTTTGACATTGTATATAATAGATTGCGACGTGCTCTTCGAGCACGTCGTTAACAATATTTGAATGCAATTCTTAGAAGGTAATTTGGGTCTGGAAAAGCCGAAAATGACCTCGAAATTTTTCTAGGGCTTCTCAGTTTTCTCGTAGGGCCTTAAAATCGCTCGAAAACCCACTTTCGGCCCCATATCTGCATTTTTTAGGGTACATGTCAAATTTATCTGAAGTCAGCATTTAGCGTACCGCAGCCATCTTGAATTCTTTTAAATGCATAGCTTTTTTTCCTCTTTTCAATAATAGTAAATTATCATATTACTAATGTAAAACAATCAACCCAAAATACCATGTTGCCAGTCTTTTTCGCTACCCCGTATTTATAGTATCAGAAAAACCCAATAAAATTGTAATGCAATTTCATAGTTAATATACATTCATTTGTTTCAAAGAAAATACCTTGTTCTGAGACTTTTCCTAGCTATATTTAAAAAAATAATTCATTTATTTTTTGCATAATCCATATTTTTTTAATTTCTTGAACATTTTTTAAAAATTTAAAAATTATTTAATATTTCTGCAACACTAACTTAAAAAAATTATATTTGGTAAATTATTCATGAGTTTTAATTTGGGGGTGATTGAGAATTAATTGAAATATTTTAAGAGGAGGTTTTGGGGTCAACCACCCTTATAACTTTACAGAACTTTTTTGTCCATTGGTCTATTTTTGAAATTTTCATTTCATATTATGCAAAATTTTATTTTAAAACTTTTTTTAGTCGTTTTATTTTTTAATAAACTTAATATTTTTCGAAAAACATGAGAAAAATTAAATCAATGCATCATGATAATATTAATATAATCGATTTATCTAAAAACACAATTAAAAATATAATAGTAATAATAATATCTTCGTAATAAAAATTAAGTTAGCCCCACTTTAAGGGGTACAAATTGGTATAGAGGTAAATTGCGTTAAATCATCATATTTTGAGGTGCCTAACACGCACCTGTTCTTGGTCGGAATTTACGCGAAACACCCTGTATATTCATTGCTAATGAAAATACTGAAAAATTTAAATTTTACACTGTTTCTCAAATTTTTCCATTACGGTCCATTTTAGAGAAATCATATGTGAAACAAATACTATAAAGATCAATTAAAGCTTAAATTTAAATTTTGGTGTTTTTCTTTTTACCCGTTTTTGAGTTTTCTTCAAATTTCAAAATTTTACAAATTTTCGAAATTTCTCAAATATCTCGAATACGGACCATTTTAGGAAAATTTTGTATATGATAAACATTATAGAGAATAATATTTAAAGTAACTTTTATTTAAAGAATTTTCTTCTCAAAATGTAAATAACATATATTCCAGAAAATATAAAAACGCCCCTTATAAAGTACCCCCCAGTTGTTCCGACTTTACCCCAAATCTAATCAGTTCATCGCAGGCAGGAATAAAGCTTAAGTTTAAAATTTTGAATTTTTCTCTTCGTCCGTTTTTCAGTTTTCTTCAAAATTCAAAATCTACACTTTTTTCAAATATCTCGAATACGGTCCATTTTAAAGAAATTATATATAGGACAAGAATTATAGAGAATGTTATTACAAACAACTTTTATTTTAATAATTTTATTAAAAATTTAAATTTTTTTAATTTTGTTAAATTTCTCGAATATGGACCATTATAGGAAAATTTTGTATAGGACAAAAATTATAGAGAATAATATTTAAAGTAACTTTTATTTGAAGAATTTTCTTCTCCAAACGTAAATAACAGATATATTCCATAAAATATAAAAAGGACCAGATCCGACTCTGCCCAAAATCTAATCAGTTCATCGCTAAAGCTTGAGTAGTATAAATCGGTCGAAAACTCGAGGTTGAAAAAAATCATAATGCCTATAATTTCTTTATTTGTATACAGACAGGAAAGTAAAAAACAAGTTTTTAAAAAGTGAATGCTGTTCCCGGTGACCCCAAACAATCGCTGTTCTGTCTTCTAAAAATTTCCAAACTATTAAATTTGGCCTGTAATAATCACTTAAATATTTTTATCTCACTATTTTCTTATTTAATTCACGATCACTAATGACCCTTATTTATTCACTATAATTTTTTCTCTATTAAAAATATCAAAAACAGCTCACTGCTGTTTTGTCTTCTAAAAATTTGGAAACTATAAAATTTGGCCTGTAATAATCACATAAATATTTTTATCTCACTATTCTCTTATTAATTTACGATCACTAATGACCCTTATTTATTCACTATAATTTTTTCTCTATTAAAAATATCAAAAACTGCCCACTGCTGTTTTGTCTTCTAAAAATTTCGAAACTATAAAATTTGGCCTGTAATAATTACTTAATTTTTTTTATCTCACTATTTTCTTATTAATTCACGATCACTAATGACCCTTATTTATTCACTATCATTTTTTCTCTATTAAAAATATCAAAAACTGCCCACTGCTGTTTTGTCTTCTAAAAATTTCCAAACTATAAAATTTGACCTGTAATAATTACTTAAATTTTTTTATCTCACTATTTTCTTATTAATTCACGATCACTAATGACCCTTATTTGTTCACTATCATTTTTCTTCTATTAAAAATATCAAAAACTGCCCACTGCTGCTTTGTCTTCTAAAAATTTGGAAACTATAAAATTTGGCCTGTAATAATCACTTAAATATTTTTATCTCACTATTCTCTTATTAATTTACGATCACTAATGACCCTTATTTATTCACTATAATTTTTTCTCTATTAAAAATATCAAAAACAGCTCACTGCTGTTTTGTCTTCTAAAAATTTCCAAACTATAAAATTTGGCCTATAATAATCACTTAAATATTTTTATCTCACTATTCTCTTATTAATTCACGATCACTAATGACCCTTATTTATTCACTATAATTTTTTCTCTATTAAAAATATTAAAAACAGCTCACTGCTATTTTGTCTTCTAAAAATTTCCAAACTATAAAATTTGGCCTGTAATATTCACTTAAATATTTTGATCTCACTATTCTCTTATTAATTCACGATCACTGATGACCCTTATTTATTCACTATCATTTTTCTCTATTAAAAATATCAAAAACAGCTCACTGCTGTTTTGTCTTCTAAAAATTTCCAAACTATAAAATTTGGCCTGTAATATTCACTTAAATATTTTTATCTCACTATTCTCTTATTAATTTACGATCACTAATGACCCTTATTTATTCACTATAATTTTTTCTCTATTAAAAATATCAAAAACAGCTCACTGCTGTTTTGTCTTCTAAAAATTTCCAAACTATAAAATTTGGCCTATAATAATCACTTAAATATTTTTATCTCATTATTCTTTTATTAATTTACGATCACTAATGACTCTTATTTGTTCACTATCATTTTTTCTCTATTAAAAATATCAAAAATTGCCCACTGCTGTTTTGTCTTCTAAAAATTTCCAAACTATAAAATTTGGCCTATAATAATCACTTAAATATTTTTATCTCACTATTCTCTTATTAATTCACGATCACTAATGACCCTTATTTATTCACTATAATTTTTTCTCTATTAAAAATATCAAAAACAGCTCACTGCTGTTTTGTCTTCTAAAAATTTCCAAACTATAAAATTTGGCTTGTAATAATCACTTAAATATTTTTATCTCACTATTCTCTTATTAATTCACGATCACTAATGACCTTTATTTGTTCACTATCATTTTTTCTCTATTAAAAATATCAAAAACTTCCCATCAGATGATAAAAGTTTTCGAAATTCTTATTTTTTAAGGAAAAACCACCACTGCTACTTTACTATCTAAAGAACTCGGATTTGATGTAGTTGAATTCAACGCATCTGATACTAGAAGCAAAAGATTATTGCAAGAAGAAGTATCTCAATTGTTAAAAACCACAACCATTGCAGGTTTTGCAGCAGGTACTTACAAATGTTATTAATAAACAAAGATTTATAGAAATTGTATTTTAAGGAAATGATAACACTGATAATAGGAAGCGAGTATTATTAATGGACGAAGTAGACGGCATGGCTGGAAACGAAGATAGAGGAGGCATCCAAGAACTCATAAATTTAATCAAAAATACCAGCGTGCCCATTATTTGCATGTGTAATAACAGGAGACATCAAAAAATGAAATCTTTAATCAATTATTGCTTTGAACTGATGTTTACACCTCCCAAAGTTGAACAAATTAGGGTAAGTTTGAAAAAAAATTACTTTTATTTATTTGTCCACGACCACTTAATAATAAATCAATATTCTTCTAACTAAAAGCACATGGTACCCATAAATCACTAGAGTGAATTATGATAATTCACGCTTTTGTAATTCTGGCAATTTCCGGTAGATAACTAAAGATGGGCGATACTTCTGAAAAATTGGAAAATCGAAAAATCGAAAAATCAAAAAATCGAAAAATTGAAAAGTTGAAAAATCGAAAAATCAAAAAATCAAAAAATCAAAAATCAAAGAATCGAAAATAAAAAAAAACGAAAAATCGAAAAATCGAAAAATTGAAAAATGGAAAAATCGAAATATCGAAAAATTAAAATATCGAAATATCGAAAAATTAAAAAATCCAAAAATCCAAAAATCCAAAAATCCAAAAATCGAAAAATCAAAAATCGAAAAATCTAAAAACCAGTAATTCGAAAAATGGGAAAATCGGAAAAGTGAAAAAACAACAGTTAGTATGTTTAATAAAAACTCTATTCTACACTTAACTTCTATTTAATAAAGAAACCATAATGGTCGTGGACAAAGTATAGTATTAGACTCGCAATTTATGGCCATTATTCACTCGGGTGATTTGCGTGAATAATGGCTACCATAAATTGCTCGTTTAATAATATACTATTATTTACTTATTTATTTATAATACAATACTCATAAATCCAATTACAGAGCAGAATATAATTATTAATAAATCACAGATTTTTTATATCCAAAGGAAATAACACAGATCTAGAACTTAAATTTAAAATTCTCTCTCTGCTGTCTTTCCTTTGGATATAATTCAATACCTGTTGCGGTATTAGCCAAAGGAGTAGTTGTTTTCTGAAGGGAAACTGTCGCTCGTAATTATGTGATATTGGCTTCTAGTTTTATTTATTTGAGTTTGAATTATTTTCATTTTTTAAATATATCAAGTTCATTGACAATAGAATTTGTCACTGTACACATGGTATGGAGCAGAGAATTTTCCAGAACATTTGTGCGAGATGTATTTATATAAAAAGTGTTCGGGTGTCTGGAAGAAATTCTGGGAATATAAATATTAAACTTTTCTAATAAGGTTGGGCAGTCAATAATACTTTTCCGTATTCTTTTTAATAAAAAGTTGTGTTATCTCATCGAGAAGAATCTTAATTATTCCTGAACCTACCTACTGAGCAAATCAGAGCACCATCTATAGAACACTTTCTTGTCTTTTTAATTAAACATAATGCCATTGGTTTGTTAGAAAATTCTAAACTCGAATTCCACAACCCTGGGTATAATCTAGGCCGAGGATGAAAATAAAGTTAATATATTTGAATTAAACTCATTTATTTATGCTTTTGTAGTAATTCAGAGTGAGATGTACCTATTAGAGGATAAATACAATCAGTTTTCAGACTTAGCAGTTTTAAAAATCGTTTTTGAATTGCTTCTAATCGATCTATATGATACTGATAAAAGGGGCTCCACACAACTGAGGCATGTTCTAACTTTGATCTTATAAAAGCATTAAATAGTAATCTGTTACAAAAAATACAAAACTACAGGAAAAAAATAAGTGGACAATAGATAAAAAAAATTATCTCTATTTAAAATTATTTTTACCTTCCACAAGAAAAATTTTACAACATCTAAAAAAAAAATAAATAAAACAATTTGAATTCTTATTTTGATATTTGTATTTATTAATAAAATGTTTTAATTAGATTAGTTATCTAACTTATTTTGAATTGTCTTTATTCTTATTTTATTGTTGTACCTAGTTTGTAATTGTTTTTTAATAATATACGAGGGTCATTCAATAAGTAAAGAGACAAATGGCTAAAGCTCAAAACTGGTTTAATTCAATCTTTCAAAATTAAGGCTATTTTTCAACATAATCACCCCCCATAGTTATGCACTTGTCCCATCTTTCCTGCAGCTTCCTAATTCCCTTGGCGAAGAATTCTTTCGATTTACCCCGAGGCCACTTTTATTTATTTATTTATTTTTGCACTTTTGCACCGCTTCCTCAACTTCCTCATTGTTAACAAATCTTTTTCCACGTAGGGCGTCTTTGAGTGGGTCCAAACATGTAAAAATGAAATGGGGCGAGGTCGGGACTGTAGGCAGGATGAGGTAAGACCTCCCAACCCAATTCTTGAAGCTTATCACGGGTCAGCTGGGCTGTATGAGGGCGGGCGTTATCGTGCTGAAGAATGACTCCTTTTGACAAGAGTCCACGGCGTTTGCTCCTGATAGCTGGTCTAACTTTGTGTTCTAGCATCTCAGAGTAGTATTGGCTATTGATAGTTCGTTGATCTTCAAGGAAATCGCAATAGACTGGACCCTGTGAGTTCCAAAAGATGATCAGCATCACTTTACCGGCGGAAGGTTGAACCTTAAATTTTTTGCGAACTGGAGAGCTAGTGTACTCTGCCTTTTGGTCTCAGGGTCATAGTGATGGATCCAGACCTCGTTGCTGGTCACTATTCTTTCAAAAAAAACGTCTCCTTCAATCAAACTTCGTTGCTTTAAGTCTTGACTAATGGAAAGCCTTGATTCTTTATGAGCGTCAGTAAACTGTTTAGGAACCCATCTGGCACACGTTTTTCTGTTCTTTAAATTGTTCTGAATGACATTGTGAACAGTTCCAACATTTACTTGAACTTCCTCAGCTATGATTTTAACAGTAATTCTTCTGTTATCACGAATAAGTCCGTCAATCCTCGATTCCAACGAGGGACCAGAAACTTGTTCGGCCACTTTTAAACCGATCAACTCACTTGTAAAAATTCGCACGGTTCATACAACTTTTATCGTACTGTATCATCATTCTAGAAAAAATTTCACTTGGTTTTACACCTTCTGAGACTAAAAATCTAATGACTGATCGCTGCTCTTCTAAGGTGCAATCTTCTAGTGGACTTGCATTGGTGAATTGAAAATTTTGAGGTTATGTTGACATAAAATGATGAAACAGCTGATCGGAGCATATCCCAAGGTTGCCAACTAACACCCCTGAAAAGATTATACACATTCATTGAATAGTTTTAAAATTATAGAATTTGTCTCTTTACTTATTGAATGACCCTCGTATTTTATTTGAGACAATATATTTGTGCCTCTATTATCTACCGTTATTCTACGATTTTTTTTAAGATTTAAAAGAGGTTTAAAAGATATATAGGTTGGCAACGCTGTAATGAGGTATAATTTACACATAATACTAGAAAAAGAAATTATGATATTACGTAGATTGATACTACTTCTCTGTAAGGTAGTGGTCTGGAGGCGCGTCTTCTACGAATTTGAGATACTTATGTGACCTGGCTTAATGTCAAGATTTCCCAGTGTATTCCCTAATCTGTAAGCACCTACTCTTGCTACCCCTTGTATCACATAGTAAAGAGATGGGAGTCCTATTAGTGCTTCCATTGCAGCAGTGGGGGTTGTTTTCATTGCCTCCGTTATTCCGAGGCAGGCAAGTCTTTGTACCTTGCTTAGTGTGGTTATTGCTTTCCTTTGCTGTGTCTTTGGTCGCCATACCAAAGCTGCATATGTTATTATCGGTCTCACCACCATGTTATAAAGCCAATGTCTGGTTTTAACTTCCATTTTTTTCCAATGGATCGCCTTGCCATCATTAACGAGGTTTCCGCTCTCCTTGTGGTTTCTTCTAGATGCTGGTTCCAGGTAAGTCTCGAGTCAATCATAACCCCGAGATATTTTATTTCCCCCTTAAGCTGGATGCTTGCACCTCTTAGGTTTAGAGGCCCTAGTCCTTCTAATTTCCTCTTGCGGGTTAATGCAATTATATCAGATTTGTTTGGGCTAATGTTTAGTCCATTTTGTTATTATATTTAGAGCCTCTTGCATTCAATCTCTTACTATAGTGTTGTATTTTCCCTGTGCCATGATCACTAGATCATCGGCATATCCCAAGGTTCTATGTCCCTTATCTTTGAGAGTCTTAAGTAGCTCGTCCACTACAAGGTTCCACAGGAATGGAGACAGCACTCCACCCTGCGGACATCCTCTCGGTACCCGTGCTGCTATTGTCTCTCTCATAAGGGTTGTGTGTATAGTTCTCTCCCTTAACATAGAGTCGATCCAGAACACGTACGTGTCCTTGATTCCTCTGTGTGTGAGAGATCTAATGATCGATTCAACGGAGGTATTTTCAAATGCACCCTCGATATCCAAGAATGCTCCCAGCATTACCTCATTATTTTCCAGTGTGTTCTCTACCCCTTTTATTAATTGATGGAAAGCTGTTTCATTTGATTTTCCTGCACTATAGGCGTATTGGTCTTGGTATATTGGCTTTTGAACCAATATCCCGTCTCTAATATGCCTATCTAGCAGTTTTCCAAAGTCTTAAGTACAAAGGACATAAGACTTATTGGTTTCCTGTCTTATTTTCCCAGGTTTTGGTATAAAAATTATCCTAATATTTCTCCAAGCTTTTGGTATGTGTCCAAAGGCCAGGCTACTTTTGAGTATGTTACAGTCTGCTGTATAACCTCTTTGTAACATTATTGGAGAAATCCCGTCCATGCCCGTTGATTTATATGGTTCGAATGGTCATATTCCACACCACAACCGTCATGCGCGAACTTAACGAAATTTCCTCTGTAATTTTTTATATAATGTACTTTCTACTCTATATTCTTATTCATTCCCGTGAATTTGAGTAACACGCTGCATTTGATTAGGTAGATTTGTTATTACACCGACTTTATTTATTGCTTGTTAAAGAAGTCCGTTCAAAATTATGATCCATCCTGTATAATATTAAAATTATTCGGATATAATTCTAAATTGTTAATGGATGAGTCAAGCCAGGTCTGCGTTATTACAAAAACACGATAGTTGCTCTGAATTACAAAATAAAGAATCTAGTTAGTTTTTGTCTTTAAACCGCCACTCTGGCTTTGGATTTACGAGGGGAATATGAAAATTTCCCTTCAATTATTATACTATTTTTAATTTTTTTTAAGGTTTCTGCATACGAGGCGCGTTTATCTTTTTCCCAAACAGCGTGATTTATATCTGCATTTTTACTAGCTAGTTTCATGCAATTAGAGCATGTTTTAATGGACGATTTACACTGATTTAATTCATGGGCAACCCTGGAAATCGAACAATAAGATTCCGCTCTTAAACTAGTTTATTAACCTGAACAATTGACTGCCAGGAACTATTTTTAATATTTGACATTCTAATTCACCTGAAAAGATGTTTTCTAACCTCATGTTCTGGGTAATTTTCTACCATACCTACAACTCGTAGTCGAGGATGTACTCCAGAGTCTCCAGCAGTTTCTTTAGTAATTTTTCATAAAATAAAAAGATTTTTTTACATTCATAGGGCGCAATGATGTCGATTTGTTTCAAAGAAGGTCTCGCCCTACCCCCAAACGTTGTAGGTGAAATAATAGCCAGTACAGGCTGCGACATTCGACAAACTTTAAACCATCTAACCATGTACGCGTCGTCAAATAACAATTCGTCATTGGAACAAGTTCAGAATAAATGTCAGCAGTCAAAGAAAGATACAGTATTAGGTCCGTTTGAAGTTATTAGATCGGTATTTACCGAAACCGAACCGAAAATGAGTTTAGCTGACAAATCCAAGCTGTTCTTCTACGATTACAGTTTGGGACCGTTGTTTGTCCAAGAGAATTATTTGGGAGTGACACCTAACTGTCCAAAGTAAGCGTAGAAATTTGCGAAAATATTGATTCGTTAATCAAATTCGTTTCAGGAAAGCTATTTTAAAACGGGCAGCTCAAGCGGCGGACGCGATAAGCGTGGGAGACTTAGTAGACGCGAAAATAAGGAGTACGAATAATTGGGCGCTATTGGAGAGTCAAGCTATGTACGCTTCGGTGTTACCCGGATACTATATGTCCGGAAAAGTTACTCGTAAAATAAATTTTCCTAGTTGGTTGGGGAAAAACTCGTCTCGCAATAAACGCAAGAGGCTCTTGAGCGAGTTACACTCTCACACTAGAATGAGGCAAGTACAAAAAGTTTTGTTTGTTTCAATGTAAGCAATGTAGTTGAGTTTTGACTAACCCTGTTCACATTTGTTTTTAATTGAATTTTATATTTATGCATGTTAGTGGGTAAACAAATTTTTGTGTGATTACTAACTATAGTACTGTAGAGAACATCGGCAGTCAAGAGCGGAGAGTGCGGGGAACTGTTGCGGTAGAACGATTTGAGTCGCCTTGAGTGTCTAGTATGATCAGCTGTTGCTAAAAAACTATTTTAACATTTCTATCAGCTTTTTCGTTTCTGTTTTCTAATTCTAAGTTTTTTCTTCTCATATTACCTTATTCAAAATGATAAAACGTTTAATCAACTTTTTAGCACTTCCGGCGGTTCTTTAGCTTTGAAATTAGACTATATAGTCCCTCTAAGAGACGCCATAATTACACCCTTGCTTAAACAAGGTTTGGAGGGCGTTTCCGACTCCATAAAAGTTATGGAAAACTACAATTTGTTGAGGGAAGATCTGAATAGTCTGATAGAACTTTGTCAATGGAAAAACGGCTCCAATCCGTTCAGTAAAATACCTGCTCAGGTAATATAGAACTAAAATTGAAAAATTTGTTTTATGAATCGAACTATTTTATAGATTAAAGCGGCGTTTACACGAGCTTACAATAAATCTTGTCAAAAGTTACCATACGCAGCTGGTGCTGGATTTTCTAAAAAGAAAGCTTCTCTGGCAGATGATAATGAAGATGATGGGAATGTCTCCGAATCCGATATAGAAGAAAATGATGATGTCAATTCCGATTCTCTCATCAAAGTAGGTTAAGTCTTCTCTACATGTGGATTTGTAAATTTTTTATATATATTTTTAGGTTAAATCTAAGACTAAAAATGAGGCGGCAGGTACTAGCAAAAAGGCTGGAACAAGTAAAAAAACGAAGGATACCGTAAAAGATGAGGCGGCACTTACCAGTAAAAAGGGTGGGACAGTTAAAGCTAAAGCATCGGCCGGTACCAGCAAAACGAAGAAACCTGCAAAAGAAAAAACTAAAAAATCTTGAGTAGATTTGTTATATTATATCTAAAAATTATTTTGTCTTTATTTTGATTGTTTATTAGCTTTTAGTTTTATTTTTATATTTTAATTCCTTCTAGAATTTTTGTTCTAAAAAACAACACTTTTTTTAAATTATAAATAAAATGTTTTGATCATTAATGGCTCTTATTATTATTCAATAATTAATTATCGTTATTAAAATACAACTATTAGTCGTTCTAATTAATACACGATCATTTCTCGCTTGCTTTAATGTACGCTGATTTATTTTATTAATCTTATTAACGCATTGCGTCTTTTAATAAGTGATCATTATTTGCACTTATTAATATATAATCATTAATCGCTGTTAATAATAATAATAATAATAATAATTCTCTTCATACAATAATTGTTATTAAAATACTACTATTGATCACATTAATTAATACACGACCATTACTCGCTTGCTTTAATGTACGTTAATTAATTTTATTAATATATCATCATTAATAAATCTTATTAACGTATTGCGTCTTTTAATAAGTGCTCATTATTTGCAACTATTAATATATGATCATTAATCGCTGTTAATAATATCAATTCTCTTCCTACAATAATTAATTGTTATTAGAATACAACTATTGATCACCCTAATTAATACACGACCATTACTCACTTGCTTTAATATACGTAATTTATTTTATTAATATACCATCATTAATAAATCTTATTAACGTATTGCGCTTATTAATAAGTGATCATTATTTGCCTTTATTAATATATAATCATTAATCGCTGTTAATAATAATAATAATAATAATAATAATTCTCTTCCTACAATAATTGTTATTAAAATACGACTATTGATCTCCTTAATTAATACACGACCATTACTCGCTTGCTTTAATGTACGTTAATTAATTTTATTAATATATCATCATTAATAAATCTTATTAACGTATTGCGTCTTTTAATAAGTGCTCATTATTTGCAACTATTAATATATGATCATTAATCGCTGTTAATAATGTCAATTCTCTTCCTACAATAATTAATTGTTATTAGAATACAACTATTGATCACCCTAATTAATACACGACCATTACTCACTTGCTTTAATATACGTAATTTATTTTATTAATATACCATCATTAATAAATCTTATTAACGTATTGCGCTTATTAATAAGTGATCATTATTTGCACTTATTAATATATAATCATTAATCGCTGTTAATAATAATAATAATAATTCTCTTCCTACAATAATTGTTATTAAAATACGACTATTGATCACCTTAATTAATACACGACCATTACTCGCTTGCTTTAATGTACGTTAATTAATTTTATTAATATATCATCATTAATAAATCTTATTAACGTATTGCGTCTTTTAATAAGTGCTCATTATTTGCAACTATTAATATATGATCATTAATCGCTGTTAATAATATCAATTCTCTTCCTGCAATAATTAATTGTTATTAGAATACAACTATTGATCACCCTAATTAATACACGACCATTGCTCACTTGCTTTAATATACGTAATTTATTTTATTAATATACCATCATTAATAAATCTTATTAACGTATTGCGCTTATTAATAAGTGATCATTATTTGCACTTATTAATATATAATCATTAATCGCTGTTAATAATAATAATAATTATCTTCCTACAATAATTGTCGTTATTAAAATACGACTATTGATCACCTTAATTAATACACGACCATTACTCGCTTGCTTTAATGTACGTTAATTAATTTTATTAATATATCATCATTAATAAATCTTATTAACATATTGCGTCTTTTAATAAGTGCTCATTATTTGCAACTATTAATATATGATCATTAATCGCTGTTAATAATATCAATTCTCTTCCTACAATAATTAATTGTTATTAGAATACAACTATTGATCACCCTAATTAATACACGACCATTACTCACTTGCTTTAATATACGTAATTTATTTTATTAATATACCATCATTAATAAATCTTATTAACGTATTGCGCTTATTAATAAGTGATCATTATTTGCACTTATTAATATATGATTATTAATCGCTGTTAATAATAATAATTATCTTCCTACAATAATTGTCGTTATTAAAATACGACTATTGATCACCTTAATTAATACACGACCATTACTTACTTGCTTAATGTATGTTAATTTATTTTATTAATATACCATCATTAAAATCTTATTAACGTATTGCACTTATTAATATATGATCATTAATCGCTGTTAATAATAATTATCTTCATAATTCAACCCCTGAAACCGACTGAGTGATTTGTGTAGAGGAAGGGACAGCGATTACTATTATTTACCGTGGCGTGACTTACAGGTGAGGAAAACCCCAATCATCATCAACGAAACTAACGTATGACGATTTTTATAATCTGGATGTCATATCAACGGAAATTGAATTTCCTAGTACATCAATCAAATCTTATAGAAAACCATGCAAATAAATTCACATGGTCTTCTGTAGGATTCGAAACCGGATATCTTTCAACCACAAAATTGCTCCAAAATGGATGCAAGCGCTTTAGAAACCTGCGGCACAAATCTGATACACCATCATTAATATCTCTTAATACACGATCATTAATGGATCTTATTAATAAGCGATCATTAATCGCTCTTATTAATATACATTAATTGATTTTATTAATAAACCATCAATAAATCTTATTAATATACAGTCATTATAGCTCTTATTAATGCACGACCATTGGATCTTATTAAATCAATCATTAATCGTTATTAAAAATACATGACTATTAATCGCCGTTATTAATATAAGTTAATTTACCGCTTTTATTAATCATTAATAGCTATTATAAATACACGACCATTGATAAATATTATTAATAAGAGATCCTTAATCACTGTTTATTAATATATTATCATTAATTGCCGTTAAAAAATACATTAATCGCCCTTATTAATTCATAGCCTTTATTATACATTGATTTTATTATTAGACCATTATTAATAATTTAATAAATCTAATTAATACACAACCATTGGATCCTATTAATAAACGATCATTAATCGCTCTTATTAATATACATTAATTGATTTTATTATTAAACCATCAGTAAATCTTATTTATTAATATACCGTCATTAATGGCTCTTATTAATGCACGGCCATTCGATCTTATTAAATCGATCATTATTCGCTAATAAAAATACACAACTATCAATCGCTGTTATTAATATAGGTTAATTGATCGCTCTTATTAATACACCATCATTAATTTCTCTTATAAATACACGATCATTGATAATTATTAATAACAGATTATTAATCGCTGTTATTAATATATTATCATTAATTGCCATTAAAAATACACAACCATTAATCGCACTTATTAATTCACAGCCTTTAATATATATTGATTTTATTATTAGACCATCATTAATAATTTAATAAACCTTATTAATACACGACCATTATATCTTATTAATAAGCGATCATTAATCTTACATTAATAAATCTTAAAAATTAACATACTGTAGCTCTCATTAATACACGACCATTGGAACTTATTAAAACGATCATTAATCGCTCTTATTAGTATACGATCATTAATCGCTATTAAAAATACACAACTATCAATCGCTGTTATTAATATAAGTTAATTAATCGCTTTTATTAATACACCATCATTAATAGCTCTTATAAATAGACGATCATTGATAAATATTATTAATGAGAGATCATAATCACTGTTACTAATATATTATCTCATTAATTGCTTTTAAAAATACACGATCATTTATCGCCCTTATTAATTCACAGCCTTTAATATATATTGATTTTATTATTAGACCATCATTAATAATTTAATAAACCTTATTAATACACGACCATTATATCTTATTAATAAGCGATCATTAATCTTACATTAATAAATCTTAAAAATTAACATACTGTAGCTCTCATTAATACACGACCATTGGAACTTACTAAAACGATCATTAATCGCTCTTATTAGTATACGATCATTAATCGCTATTAAAAATACACAACTATCAATCGCTGTTATTAATATAAGTTAATTAATCGCTTTTATTAATACACCATCATTAATAGCTCTTATAAATACACGATCATTGATAAATATTATTAATGAGAGATCATAATCACTGTTACTAATATATTATCTCATTAATTGCTTTTAAAAATACACGATCATTTATCGCCCTTATTAATTCACAGCCTTTAATATACATTGATTTTTATTATTAGACCATCATTAATAATTTACTAAATCTTATTAATGCACGACCATAGGATCTTAGTAATAAGCGATCATTAATCGTTCTTATTAATATACATTAATTGATTTTATTAATAAACCATCAGTAAATCTTATTAACTAATATATCATCATTAATAGCTGGTATTAATGCACGACCATTGGATCTTATTAAATCGATCATTAATAGCTCTTGTACGATCATTAATCATTAATAAAATTACACGACTATTAGTCGCTGTTATTAATATAAGTTAATTGATCGCTTTTATTAATACGCCGTCATTAATAGCTTTTATAAATACACGAACATATTATTAATAAGAGATCTTTAATCACTGTTATTAATATATTATCATTAATTGTCGTTAACAATACACGGCCATTAATCGCCATTATTAATTCACAGACTTTAATATACATTGACTTTATTATAAGACCATCATTAATCATTTAATAAACCTTATTAATACACGACCATTATATCTTATTAATAAGCGATCATTAATTTTAGATTAGTAAATCTTAAAAATAAACATACTGTCATTAATGCACGACCATTCGATTTTATTAAATCGATCATTAATCGCTCTTGTTAGTATACGATCATTAATCGCTAATAAAAATACACAACTATCAATCGCTGTTATTAATATAGGTTAATTGATCGCTCTTATTAATACACCATCATTAATAGCTCTTATAAATACACGACCATTGATAAATATTATTAATAAGAGGTCATTAATCACTGTTTATCATTAATACACGACCATTAATCGCCCTTGTTAATTCATAGCTATTAATATACATTAATAATTTAATAAATCTTATTAATGCAAGACTATTGGATCTTATTAATAAGCGATATTATACGATATAATTAATCGCTAAAAAAACACTACTATTACTCAATCTTATTAATAACATTTTCATTTATGTCGTTTATTAATGTACTATCATTCATCGCTCTTATTAAGATACTACAATAATTGATAGAACGTGTGTTTGTGAAAGATCGCTCAATAATCACCAAACGTGGTTACCGTTACACAATATTTGTATAAACTTTTTGGATATGAAACAGTGATAAATTTTTTTATTCACCTACATAATATACCTCGTATACCAATGTGCTATTTGGTAAGGACATAACCTAAAATATTGATCAAACTTATACCAAGTTTTATCAATAATCCCACTTTGAACGAAGTCAAAACGGTAAAAAAATGTTTATAACGCAAAAACTCGGGTTTATGATTAAAAAGATCATCAAAACCCTAAAAAGTAAATTATCTAAATAAAGAAGAAGAAATTTCGGAGAGGAAAAGTGTTTTGGTTTCGTGAAACATGGGAAATACCGAAAGCAACGTCACCAGCGGGGTGAAAAAGCAGGCAGGAGCAGCTTTGCAACCTATTTATAAGTTATGCGATTTAAAAGGTACGTATTAATTGCTATCATTGTTTTTTTGTCGACCTACAGTTTTCGACGGCTTTTTACGTTTAATTGGGGTTTAAACATTACAGGTGGCGGATTACTAGTAGAACTTATGAAAAGAGCCACTCAAAACAAGCAGTATGCTGAAATAGATCACGCTATAAAAACAAAGGTAAAATAGAGTAGATGCATATAGTTTCTTATTAGAAATCCGTTATGTAGGTACAGATAGACAAGAATAGAAAAAGCCGCGACGAAGAGAAAGTTTTTGATTACGTAATAGTATATTATATAACAAGGAGTTGTAAATAACAGACATATTCGTAGGTAAAGTTGAGAAAATGTTCGAATACAATAATACTTTGTTACATAAATTGACAATATACATTACAAGACGTTTATTTTAAGAAAACGCGACTTATTTTTTGAAAAATTGTATAACGTGTTGCCGACATTTAGGGGCATCAATTTTTTTATGTTTTTCAATTGAATAAATGTATGTAACTAGACCAAATAAAGTCGTACGTAGATAAAAATTTGATTGCAATTTGATTAAACTAAGAAATTTGAGTTTTCTTATCATTTTTTATTTGAACGTTCGTCAATTGAAATATTAATTCTAAAAAGTTACTGTTTTAAAGTGATTATAAACGTCTAAAATTGTCGTTTTTTGACTGGGTAAAATCCTGTAAGTTTTTCTTCAAGTCCTTCATAAATTTGCCATTGCCAAACATCTGTAGAAAGTGCAACTAGAATAAATAATAACCAGAAGGATATCTCTCATTTAATTCCTTTGTAGTTGATACCATTCCATAGGCGCACCGAAAAAGAGGTCAGGAAAATAAAAAAGAAATTGGGTAGCTATTGATTTATTTTTTAAGTTCATACATTACAAATATAGGTAAATAAAAGATTTATATATATATATATATATATATATATATATATATATATATATATATATATATATATATATATATACATTTAAGAGTATAAAATAATCTTACTCTACCGAATAATAATTTTATTAAATAATTATGTGGACATTTTTCACATGGATGTGAAAAACTTGTATTTCGTATCGATTACATTTTTGTGTATAATAATAGTTTCAAAATTAATTTGAAATATTACATCTAAAAAGGAGATAAATTTTACAAAATCATTGTGTGGCATGTTTAAGTTACCAAATAAATCTAGATTGGAGCTGTTATAAGCTTTATAATAACAAAATAAAGATGTATCGTCCAAATTTTGATAGGCCTTTGAATATTCCTCGCAAATGTATGTATGAATATTAAGGGTATAATTAGAGAAATTTCAGAAAGATATTGTGAAATGCTCTACTATTACGGCAACCCAACATACACATGTGTATATAAAGTTGCCTACCCTTGGACATCATTAAAGATTGATATTGTAATCGAAAGAGATAGATGACAGTGTATATTTTACCGCGTTTTGTAGTCTCAGGTCAATTCTTGTCGGAAAAGCAATCAGTACTATATCTTGTGTTTTTGCCTTTGATATTCATTTATTTACCGTATTTTCTTTGTCAAATGTAATGTTATTTTGTTAGTAAAGTTGTTAAGTGTGTAATAAACTAATGCTACTAAGATTTAACGGTTTTAATACGTTCCAAAAATAAGAAGGGCTCTCCGAACCTATTAAACACCAACACCACCCTTGCTAGAATTGGAGATTAAATATAGAAATGTCAAAAATTACCTAAAGTGTATCATAACAAGCAATTATTACAGATAATTCACTTTTTATAGGTCATTACTACCTGGCATTGGTTTTAAATTCTGGAAATTACCTAAAATGTATCATATCAAGAAAATATTAGAGATAATTTAGTTTTGTAGATCAAAAAAGAAACATTTTGATCCTTAAAACAGGTATTTTTGTATATTACTTATAAATAAATAAATAAATAAATAAATAAATAAATAAATACTGTTAAATCGACTACTTTTAATTGCGTCGTTGTTCTTGCTAACCAGCATGTAAACATTATAGTTGTCTAAATAAGCAGTCGTAACAAATAAGATTATCTAAGGTTTTGAGGGATTAAAAGCATTATAATTTTTTAAATTAATCTATTTTCGATTGAAAAACTGGTTTTTGGTCGTAGAAAAAACAGGGTATGCAACTCTTATGTAATGGCTATTAATACATGATCGTTACATAATATACTATTATTAATATATACCCTAAGTACAACGATAAAAATATTTAAGCAAAATAACAGGAACAACAATAATAATAATTATAAATTCACGATTTCGATACCACCGCCCGTGCCGGTTGCTACTGCACTGAAAGTTTTGGTGTAGAATATCGGTGTAGGTGTGCTTGAAGGTCACGAACCCTAAAAGATCACGTGATCGGAGATATCCTTCTGGTTATTATTTATTCTTGTGCTATTAGTATTAGTTAATTTATTCTCTGCGTTTATCCATCAATTATAAGCAAAAACTATCCACAAAAAACCTGTTCCTGATAACAAATATCGACTTTTATTCATTTACTAATAGTCTGGACCAAACTCCTAACCAAAGGAAAACTCTGGACACTGTCAACAATACGTCAATATGTCAATATTACCAGAACGTTAGAGGTCTTCGAACAAAACTATGTCTCAATGTTACAAATGTTACATCTATAGACAGGATCGTTCCCCCCAGTCCAGTATCTTTAGCAGAAGTGGAGGTGTTTTAATAGATGTTAGGAAAACGTTCTCCTCGAGTATCATCAACTCTAACCCATCTATTGAGCAACTGTTTATTCACTTGGACTACAGAAACTGCAAATATATTTTAGGAGCCATATATACACCGTGTCCCACGTAAGGCGGGCATTACAACTTTATGGAGAATAAATTAATTTGTATTTTCGCCATTTTCTGAGTATACATAATCGAATATGCTCTTTTGAATTAAAATAAAATGAACTCTGTGCAACTTCCGGTTATACCGGAAGTGACCACTAACTTCGTTATTTTAAAGGGAATACCCCATATTTTTTTTTAATTTTAGATTCAGCATGAAATTCTGTAAACAACGATACCCCATTTGCCTATTCTAGTTATAGCGGATTTGGCGTTATTCAATTTTTTTCTACATTTTTAGTCGCCGGTAGACATTTTCTTAAAGTCGTCTATCTCAGGTACTATATCTATCAGATACTTAAAATTTTAACCAGAGGTAGTAGATGGGATGTACTTCTTGAGAATATTTAGTTATTAATTATTTGTTGTACGGGGTGTTTGCAAATTATTTTTAAAAATGAAATTTTTTAAACATAAAAAACTTTTTTTATTTTAAATTGAACACCCTATATATTTTTTAAATTTTAGATTCAGCATGAAATTCTGTAAACAATGATACCCCATTCGCCTATTCTAATTATAGTGTATTTGGCGTTATTCAGTTTTTTATAAACTTTTATATGCCGGCAGACATTTGCTTTTTTAAATTTACTTGTACATCGTTTGTTCGACTGTGTGTTTGGAAATTATTTTAAAAAATAAATATTTTAAACATGAAATTTTTTTTTATTTTAAATGGAAAATCCTGTATATTTTTATTTCATTTTGTTCAGAAAATTATTCTTCATTGATCTTCATTTGCACTATTAATTCCCTATAATTATCTCTCGCCAATTTTAAGAAAATTTAAATTTTACGCATGCACCTACATAATATAGTATAGTTTTACATTTTAATTTTTTATCTTAGTATGCCGTGGAAATATGCTAAACAACAATCTGTCAACAAACTGAATTGTCATATTTCTATGTATTTAAGTTGTGTATTTGCGTTCAAAATATGGAAAATATTGAAGAATATACCAACCAAGATATTCTTAATTTATTTTACATTCATGGAGAATGTAATCGAATCAAAAGTAGAACCTGCCGCATGTTTAATGAACGATACCCTCATTTACCACCAATGAACAGACAGAAATTTGATAGAATCGAAGCTAACTTTTTGAATAATTTTAAACAAAACCCGGGAAGAAACCGTCAACGTTATGTCCGAGATGAAGAAGTTAATCTAATTAACGTATTAGGGTATTTTACTGCGTATCCTCACGCCTCCATTAGAATGGCTCAAGATAATTTAAATATTAGTCGAGGGTCAATACAACGAATTTTAGCACTAAATAAATGGCATCCCTATGCACAAAGAAAAGTTCATGAGTTGCGAGATGGTGATCAAATAAGACGAACTGAATTATGCGAATGGTTATTGGTACGAATTCAAGAAGATCCCGAGATTTTAAACAAAATTTTGTGGTCAGACGAGTCGAAATTTGCACGTAAAGGAATCATCAATCGCAAGCAATGTTATTTCTGGGCAAACGAAAATCCACATTTTTATCGTGAAGCACAATTTCAGTACGAATTTAGTTTTAATGTGTTTGCAGTGATCGGTTTTGGAAGAGCTTTTTATTACATTTATAATGAAAGACTGACCTCAGAAAGATACATTAGAATTCTTAGAGAAGTAGTTGCCGACATTTTAAACCAGCTACCAAATAATAATTTTTGGTACCAGTTAGATGGTGCCCCAGCACATTCAACATACTATGTAAATCAAGAAATTACAGCACTCTTTGAAGACCGATGGATAGGTCCAAATGGTCCTTGGCTTTGGCCTGCAAGATCGCCAGATCTAACTCCTGTTGATTTTTTTTATGGGGCCATATTAAAAATTTAGTGTACTCTACCCAAATTAATACTAAAGAAGAATTAGAGCAAAGAGTTCGGAATACCTTTAACGAGTTAGATGGTGATATGATTCGTAAAGCAACAACTAATCATGTTGAAAAAAGATTGTTAAAATGTTTAGAAGCGAACGGGGGGCATTTTGAACATTTGATAAAATGATTTTTTTAAACCATGTGCTTTTAATAAAAATTGTTTTTAGTTAGTATGTACCTTATCATTAAAAAAATTTAAACTTTTTAAACGACATATTTTGTTGCAGAAAACTGTAAATGTTTTTAAAAGTACATCCCATCTACTACTTCTGGCTAAAATTTCAAGTATCCAACAGAAATAGTACCTGAGACAGTCGACTTTAAGAAAATGCCTACCGGCGCGACGACTAAAAATTAAAAAAAAATAAATAACGCCAAATCCGCTATAATTAGAATAGGC